AACGGAATAGAGCTATGGGGAGGAATAGGAAAATGGGAGTAATTGAGTAGCTTTTTCAAATAATGGACAAAGGTTTGATGGGTTGAGTGGCCTCCTGTCGTGTATGATAGTAAAAGATATGGAAATGGAGAGGAAAATGGCATTAAGGTAGAAGATTACCCATGATCTAGCTGAATGATACACCAGGCTCAAGAAACAGAATGGCCTACTCCTGCTCCTATTTCCTTTATCCCTAAATACATTTTGGTTATTTTATCTGAACAGGACAAAATTGATTACTTTTGTTTGCTTGCTCAATTTTTTTTTGTGAAATCTTTTTGGACAGGTTTTGTGCTACATCTGTAGAAGATTAAATTATCAGCAGACCATTCTGTTGGACCTGACAAATTTAATAAACTTCTACTGATTTTTCCATCCAGAGCCTGTAGGTTTTCCTGATCAAAAAGTCAGTCATAACAGTGTAACATTTCTAGGAAAGAATGAATTGCTTTGTGAAAATAAATAATTTCACTTGATCTCTTGCAAATTGAGTTAAACTTTTTTGTGATATAAATTAAGTAGATTTAACAGCAGCTCTAACTTTCCAAGTGGTGCTGATCTCTGCAAGCAATATTTAATGAAAGGATAAGTGACAATTGAACTTAGGATGTGATCTGGTGAGGACAACACGTGTGTGTAATTTCAATCACAGATTCTGCCACAAATGCCTGGTGGTATTTAGAAAAATTGGATTTTGCCCACAGGTTACAATAATGGTGCTGTCAGAAGAACAAATTTTATCTACCTACTATGGAACTAGTAGCATAGAAATGGCTTCTAATTGGCTGTCTCTGGTTACTGTGATCCCTAATCATGTTTCACAGTATATTCCCTGCATTTTTGTAGGGTGGATTGAATGTCAACTTTTGGGTCTTCCCATGTACCCACTCCGTACGGATTTTAATTTTAATTTGCTAGCTAGTAGTTGCTCTTTAAAGTGTGGGGCAATAGATGGGAGACAAGTTAGAATCATTCTTTCATGAATTCTAGGTAATGATTAAAATTTAACAAGTAAATTGTTAGAATTGAAAATTCAGGAAACACGTAAATTTGAGGGATAGTAAGAACTGCCGATGCTGGAGTCAGAGGTAACACAGTGTGAGCTGGAGGAACACAGCAGGCCAGGCAGCATCAGAGGAACAGGAAAGCTGACATTTTGGGTCGAGACCCTTCTTCAGAAATGATTCTCGGGTTACATTTCTGAAGAAGGGTCTCGACTCGAAACGTCAGCTTTCCTGCTCCTCTGATGCTGCCTGGATAAATTTGAGGGTCTGTAAGCGTGAGTGTTTCATGATTAATACTTCTAAAATGGTACTGGGGAAGGGAGGGATTAGACATTTTCCTTCAGGCTTTTGCAGGTGAATACACATACAGTTTGATTAGAAATAGTCAGCGTAGCTTTGTGAGGGGCAGGTCATGCCTCACATGTCTTTGAGGATGTGACAAAACACATTGATGAAGGCAGAGCAGTGGATGTGGTGTATATGGATTTTCGCAAGGCATTTGATAAGGTTCCCCATGGTCGGCTTCTTCAGAAAGTAAGGAGGCATGGGATTCAGGGAAATTTGGCTGTCTGGATACAAAACTGGCTGTCCAATAGAAGACAGAGGATGGTAATAGATGGAAAGTATTCAGCCTGGAGCTTGGTGACCAATGGTGTTTTGCAGGGATCTGTTCTGGGGCCTCTGCTCTTTGTGATCTTTATAAATGACTTGGATGAAGAAGTGGAAGGGTGGGTTAATAAGTTTGCCAATGACACGAAGGTTGATGGAGTTGTGGATAGCGTGGAGGTTGCAACGGGACGTTGACAGGATGTAGAGCTGGGCAAAGAAGTGGCAGATGGAATTCAACCCAGAAAATGTGAAGTGATTCATTTTGGAAGGTTGAATTTGAATGCAGAATACAGGGTTAATGGCAGGATTCTTGGCAGTGTGGAGGAACAGAGCGATCTTTGGGTCCACGTCCATAGATCCCTCAAAGTTGCGACCCAAGTTGGTAGGTTTGTAAAGAAGGCATATGGTGTGTTGGCTTTCATTGGCAGGGGAAATGAGTTTAAGAGCCGCGAGGTTATGCTGCAGCTCTATAAAACTCTGCTTCGACCACTTGAAATATTGTGTTCAGTTCTGGTCGCCTCATTATAGGAAGGATGTGGAAGCTTTGGAGAGGCTGCAGAGGAGATTTACCGGAATGCTGCCTGGACTGGAGGGCAGGTCTTATGAGGAAAGGTTGAGGGAGCTAGGGATTTTTTCATTGGAGCGAAGAAGGATGAAAGGTGACTTGATAGAGGTGTATAAGATGATGAGAGACATAGATAGAATGGATACCTAGAGACTTTTTCCCAGGCTGGAAATGACTATTATGAGGGAGCATAATTTAAAGGCGATTGGAGAAAGGTATAGGGGAGATGTCAGAGGTAGGTTCTTTACACAGAGAGTGGTGGGCGTGTGGAATGTGCTGCCAGCTGTGGTGATGGAGTCAGATACACTAGCGACATTTAAGCGACTCTTGGATAGGCACATGGATGATAGTATAATGCAGGGTATGCAGGGTAGTTTGATCTTAGTAGGATAATAGGTCAGCATAACATTGTGGGCCAAAGGGCCTATACTGTGCCGTACTGTTCTACATTCTATGTTCTATCTGGTAGAATTGGTTCAAGGATAAACACTAAACCCAATGTCCTATTACCAAAAAGGCATTTGATAGAGTGCATCACATAAGGCTACTTAAGATAAAAGCATATTGCATTAGCATGGTTAGAGGATTGACTAACTAACAGAAGACAGAATTAGGATAAAGGGGATATTTTCAGGATGTAACTCATGGAGTGCCACATGGATCACTGTTGCAGCCACAACTTACAATATATCTGAATGGATTGGATGAAGGGACTGAACGCACTTTCACTGAGTTTGCAGATAACACAAAAATAGTTGGAAAGGCAAGAGGTATGGATCACACACAGAATTTACAGGAAGATACAGACATGTTAAGCAAGTGAGCAAAAAGTCTGTAGGTGGAATACAATGAGGGAAAATGTGAGTTTGTAATTTGGCAGGAAGAGGAGTTGATTTTTTTTAATGGAGAAAGACTGCAGAAAGCTGAAGAATTTGGGAGTCCTCATGCATAAGTCACAAAATGCTGGCATTCAAGTGCGGCAGGTAATAGGGAAGGGAAATAGAAAGTTGGTCTTTATTTCATACAGTGATACAGTCTAATTATAGCCTCAAATCTAAACTCCTGCCATGCCCTTTAAAACTGAGCATTTTTCATTGTTATCACCAGTGAAAACAATGCTAGAAACATTTCTTAAACATAGAACAGTTAATCCTCAGAATATGGCACCTGTTCGGTTGCATTATTTGAATTTGAATAGTCAGCTGGATTTGAAGCTAACTGACACAGTATCAAAATCAAAGGTACCTTCAATTGAATGTCAAAAATTACAATGGGCTAAATTGCTTCCCAGTGTGTGTTGTAATGTTCTTGACTTTATAAATCCAGTGTATTAACTTGCTGGTGGTAACTCCAGATTGCTAGAAAGATGCTGTTGCACATTTAGAACAAAATTTAACGTACGACTTTTTTATTTTTTTTCCCAAGCATCGATTGTTGGCAAATGATTACTTATCATAATAAGCAGTTAAAAATTCTACCTGCTAGTCTAATGACTGCATTTCTCTTATTGTTTCAAAGATCTATTCAGAACAGGCTGGGATAATTTACTCAATAATGAGGAAGCTGGAATACAATTAACCTGATCCTAGCTCTGAGATTACATTACATGGTTCTGATGGTAGTTTATTAATGATATTAATCAACAAAGCCAATGGGGAGGTTGATTAAAAAAAGTTATAACGCTTAAATATTCATTCATATTGACCCCTGCTGTGACGCTATTACTAAAATGAAATGAATAGCGCAAGCTTAAATATTTTATAGGATGCTTACAGAATAAATCAAACAAAACTGAAAATACTGTTTTTCTTGACAACTCCTTTTACAAAATTAATGCACAAATTAATTATACACTTTACCTAAGAGTTTGAGAAATTATTGAGTTCTTCGAAATGATAGTTTTAATAATGAGACTTGTTTTTACTGCTTCTTCATTTGTATGATTAAAGTATAAATTGTATGTTTTGAACAAGCAGAGAAAGCATGAATTATTAACAGTGTAATTTCTTGTGCTATTCTTAAATCTAATCCACTTATGTTTCTACCCTCACTAGTTTGCAATTATATTTATGGCTGAAGGCTTTCCAATGAACTGACCTTGTCACATTAGATATAATTTGTACAAGTTTTTGTTGCTCCAACAGATGTTAGGGAATATGTACAATTTTACCTTGATAAGATAAAAATGAGAATGAGTGGGTAGTGTAGTAGGAGAACATAGCAGACTTCAAACATCAACAGGTGAATTAAAAGTAAAATATTGTTGACATGTTAATAATGGCAATTGAATACCGCAAATGTCATTTAGTTAGATAGTTACAGAAAATGGGGTTTGGCTCTCGCATGATCTTTGGAAGTGCAAATCTGCAGAATGAAATAAATTTGCAGTATTTTCTCTTTTTGGATCAACTGTTATCCTACATGCTCACTCATGGAGGTATTTTTGTCAAATTTAAGAAACTTTTCCTGAATCTATTAAAATATTTGATGGATTGAATAATCATAATCAAACTTGAAAAGATGCAGGTGGAAATTGGTGCTTGGTAGGTTTTCTGCATTTGGCGCCTCCGTAATAATGCACAAGAATTCAAAATAATTGCAGACCATTGAATCAACTGTAAATTTCAAGCTTGATTGTAAGCCAATATGATGGATTGCTTGATCTCCTAAATGTTTTTATATTATTTTCAATGCATGCATTATTAATTCGAGCAAAATTGGTTGAACCAAAATTTTGAGTTGAACTCCATTATGCTAACTTTAAAAAATATTTGTATTTTTAGGATCCTTTATGATGGTGAACAGCTCTGGACGGATCTCAGGACAGAAGGCTCATCTATTATTGCCCATATTGAAAGAGAATGACACACACTGCATTGACTTTCATTATTTTCTGTCGAGCAAAGACAGATCAAGCCCTGGAGCTTTAAATGTTTATGTGAAAGTTAATGGTGGACCTCAAGGAAACCCTGTATGGAATGTGTCTGGGATAGTTACTGAAGGATGGATTAAGGCAGAACTGGCTATCAGCACATTTTGGCCAAACTTCTATCAGGTAAGGTTACAGAACAATGATATTGTATTAACAGGCTCTGTTACTGGAGACTGTGTGCAGTTTCACTTGCCAGCATTGCTATATTGTCAGTTTAGTTGATGGAACTAAGTGGCTGTTCATGAAGTAAAAGACACAGATACACAGACACATACACAAACACAATCTAAAATCTCTCTGTCTCACACACACACACAGTCTCACATGTTCACAAACTCACACATAAATTAACACACACACACAGTGTCACATACATACACATGCACTCACACACACGCATAAGCGCACACGAACACATGCGCACACACAATCTCACACAGACATATACACACACACAGACAGAGATACACAGACACATACACAAACACACAGTCTCTCTCTCTCCCACACACACACACTCTCAGTCTCACATGCTCACAGTCTCACACATAGAGTAACACACACACAGTGTCACATACAGACACATGCACTCACACACAGTCTTTCTCTCCCACACACACACAGTGCTTCACAAACACACACACACATGCACACACACATATATGCTCACATGTGCACACACACCGACATGTACACACACACGCACACTAACACGCACATACATGCACACATGCACACACAGTCTCTCTTTCACACACACACTCACACAGTCTCACAGTCTCACAGTCTCTCACATGAAAACACACGCACACATGCACGCTCATGCGTGCACACACACACATGCACACACGCTCTCACACACACACACATACACATACACACACGCACACTCACACACACGCATGCACACACACACGCACACTTACGCACGCATGCACACACGCGGACACACACACACAGCTGCACACACACACACACACACGCATGCACGTGCACACAAACACACACATGCACACACAGACACATACGCGCACACGCAGAATGGGAGAATCATTTGTGGTCTGCTCCAGTGTGGTTTCTGACAGCTGGCATAGAGGGGCATGGCAAAGACTTACAAACAATTCAGCAACCCATTCCTTGTGTTTCAGTTTGTTTGTGATTGAGGAAAAGGAAAGATGATTTTTTAAAAAAATTATACTGTACCTGCTGAATTAAGTTGTAGCCAACACAATGTTGAACCTGCTCCACTGTGATTCACATAACTGATCCTGTCAAAGTTTCCAGGACAACACAATTGAATCAAGCTTTGTTCACACCAGAATGGGCATACATTGAAGCATATTAGAATGGAAAAAGCAAAAGAAGCAGTATGCCACTTGTTAGGATGGCCAAAGCTTCAAAATCACTCAAGAAACATTACAATATACAGGACAAAGTAGCCTGCTTGTTTGGCACCTCATCCACCACCACCTTCAACTTTCACCTCCTCTATCACAGAGGCACAGTGACTGCAGTGTGTGTCATCTGCAAGATGCCCTGCGTAATTTAGCATGCAACAAAAATAAGCTTCCCTTTGTACTTGCACATTAACCTTGTGTTTCATGCAGGATGGCACACAGACCTTTTGCATCTCAGTTTTGCAATTTCATGCTATTTAGACAATATGCTTTTGTATTCTTCTTGCTAAAATGGACAATTTTATATTTTCCCATATTACCCTACTTAGAGTCACAGGTTCATAGAGCTGTACAGCATGGAAACAGACCCCTTGGTCCAACTCGTTCATGCTGACCAGATATTCCAAATTAATCTGGTTCCATTACCAGCATTTGGCCCATATCCCTCTTAAACCCTTCCTAATCCAGATGCCTTTTAAATGTTGTAACAGTACCAGCCTGCGCTACTTCCTCTAGCAGCTCATTCATGCACACACCATCCTCTGTGTGAAAAGGTTGCCCCTTAGATCCTCTTTAAATCTTTCCCCTCTCACCTTAAACCTACGCCCTCTAGTTTTGAACTCCCCTACCCTGGGGAAAAGATCTTGCCTATTTACCCTATCCATGCCCCTCATGATTTTATAAACCTCTATCAGGTCACCCCTCAGCATCTGATGCTCAGTGAAAATGACCCCAGCCTATTCAGCGCCCCCCATAGCTCAAACCCTCCAACTCTGGCAACATCCTTGTGAACCATTCCTGATCCTTTTCAAGTTTCACAACATCCTTCCTATATCAGGGAGACTAGAATTGAATGCAGTATTCCAAAAGTGGCCTAACCAATGTCCTGTACAGCCTCAGCATGACCTCCCAGCTCCTATACTCCATGCACTGACCAATAAAGGCAAGTACACCGCCTTCAGTATCCTGTCTACCCACAATTCCACTTTCAAGGAACTATGAAACTGCACTCCCAGGTCTATTTGTTCAGCAACACTCCCTAGGTCCTTACCATTGAGTGTATAAGTCCTGCCCTGATTTGCCTTTCCAGAATGCAGCAGCTCACATTTATCTAAATTAAACTCCATCTGCCACTCCTCGGCCCATTGGCCCATCTGATCAAGATCCCGTTGAACTCTGAGGTAACCTTCTTCGCTGTCCACTACCACTCCAAGTTTGGTGTCATCTGCAAACTTACTAACCATACCTCCTGTGTTCACATCCAAATCATTTATATAAATGACGAAAATCAGTGCCCCCAGAAGCAATTGTTGTGACACACCACTGGTCACAGGTCTCCAGTCTGAAAAGAACCCTCTGCCACTGCTCTCTGTCTTCTACCTTTGAGCCAGTTCTGTATCCAATTAGCTAGTTCTCCCTGTATTCTGTGTGATCTAACCTTGCTATCCAGTCTACCATGAGGAACATTTTCAAATACCTTACTGAAATCCATCCAGATGACGTGCATTGCTCTGCCGTCTCTCAATCCTCTTCATTACTACTTCAAAAAAACTAAATCAAGTTAGTGAGAGACAATTTCCCATGCACAAAGCCATGTTCACTATCTATAATCGGTCCTTGCCTTTCCAAATACATGCAAATCCTGCCCCTCAGAATCCCTTCCAACAACTTGCCCACCACCGATGTCAGACTCACTGGCCTATAGTTCCCTGGCTTTTCCTTACCACCTTTCTTAGATAATGGCACAATGTTAGTCAACCTCTAGTCTTCTGGCACCTCACCTGTGGCTATGAATGATACAAATATCTCAACAAGGGGCCCAGCAATCACTTCCCTAGCTTCCCATAGAGTTCTAGGGTACACCTGATCAGGTCTTGGGGATTTATCCACCTTTATGCATTTTAAGACGTTCAGCACCACTTATTCTGTAATATGGACATCTTTCAAGATGTCACTATTTTCCCATGTTCTTTATATTCCATATCCTTCTCCACAGTAAACACTGATGCAAAATGCTTGTTTAGTATCTTCCCTCATCTTCTGCGGTTCCACGTATTGGTGACCTTGCTTATCTTTAAGGGGCCCTATTCCCTCCCTAGTTACCCTTTTGTCCTTAATGTATTTGTAGAAGCTGTTTGGATTCTCCTTAAGCCTATTTGCCAAAGCTATATCATGTCCCCTTCCTGATTTCTGTCTCCTCCGTTTTTGGATAAAGGAGTTACAATGTTACCTTGCAACATAGTGGGAACGTCCCTGAATCTGAGGAAAATAAAACCAATCCATCAACTGTTTCACTCGTCACTTCTTCTAAGAACCAAAGATGAAGCCCATCAGGATCCTAAAACTGTTTGCCTGCAACTCCATCAATTTGCTGATTTACTTTCCTGGTGATTGTGATTTTCTTGAATTCTTCCATCCCTTCCATTTCCTGATTTTCAGCTACTTCTGGGATTTTACTTGTATCCTTTTGAGAAGACTGATGCAAAATATCCTAGTTAACTAATCTAATAACTCCTCCTTTTCCGTTATTAGTTATTTAGAATTGCTTCCAAAAGCAGTTCTTCAGTTCTGGAAGAGAGTCATATCAGACTCAAAATAAAAATTCTCTTTCTCTTTCTACAGAAGCTGCCAGACCTGCTGAGTTTCTCCAGCATTTGAGGTGTTTGTTCCACATTCTGTTCACTTATTTCTCTCAGGAAGGCTAAAAGTGGTGGGAAAGTTAAAGAAATTGAAGCACAGATTAGCCATGATCTAATTGAATGATAGTTCAAATTTGAGAGGTCTACTGTATTTGCTATAGCTTTCTGAGGTAACTTACAGTCTTCTGAAAAGCTAATTACACTGTATTTTGGTATCATTTATATACATGAATTTGTTTTCCCAGTAATCAAGTCCAAATGGTTGATGCAAGATTGCATACTACAAAATTTTGTGGATTCTCAATGTGATATCATTTCATTTTTTATAAAACCTAATAGGCTGCGATAAAAAGTAAATATACAGTACTGGGCTGCGTTGATTTAGTGTATTGGATTAATAACTCACATGGAAGTAAGTGATTCATATTAGGACTTGACTTCAATATTAGACTTCATTATTAGACTTCATTAATTTGACAGCATATTAAGGAATAGGGATTTTAATTTATTCATCACTGATTTTTGCTATTTCAGGTTATTTTTGAATCAGTTGCTTCAAAGGGCCATCCTGGATACATTGCAATAGATGAAGTTAGAGTACTCGCTCATCCATGCAGTAAGTAATGATAAAAAAAAGTCATAAAAACATTCGTAATGACTGCCTGGAAATTAAAGTTTTTGACCTTCAAATATTAATCCACATATATTGTTCATTGCTGAAATTTACATCTAGTGATTATCTGTATAGCTGCACTCAATGGATAGATTTTTCGGTGATGTCATTACAGTATCCTGAAACCTGTTTATCCAAATGTTAATATTTTCTTGATAGCCCACTAAAAATAAAATCAGGCCTGGATTTTGAAAACCATGTTAAAGCAAAGTCACTTAGTACTGTCCACAAAATCTAATGGTCTGTATGGTGAGAACTTTGCCTCTTCTTCTGGGTGGTGGATTATATCCTTGTTCATGGGGATTCTCAACATCAGCCTGCAGTGATGATGTCAAACTGTCAAACAGCCAATCACATTAAACTAAATCAAATCACATTTTTCTAAAATATTGACACAGCCAAAAAAATGTTCAGACTTTTACAGGAGGTTTAAGCTTGAAGCTGAAATGTCATGAATAAATTTAATTAATAAGAGATTTAAAAGATAATTTCAAATATTCAGTAATTAGGACAAAGTTTTATAATTGTAAATTATATTCTCAGGTCCAGATTAGTTATTCAGCAGTAGTTTTACTTGAAATCAGAGTCCTGCCAAATTGCATAACTAGGACTAGAGAAAAACTCTTAAATTAAATAGTGTGTTGGGAGGGGGGAGGGGGGAATGGATTCGGTTGCATGTAAAATTAGAAAATCAGAAGTAACAGAGAAAGTAGAATTGCAGGTTAGTGATGGAGTTGATTGTTTCCAGAAAATAAAAAGAAGATACAGAATGTGTCAATGCCATATTGCGCTAACCAACTGTAAGAGTGTAGGGAAACTCGATAATAGAACAAACGTAAAGGCTTTATATCTTAAGATACAAAGCATTTGGAATAAGGTAGCAAACTGATGGTGCAAATTGAGGTAAATACATATTATCTCATAGCCATTGCCGGAAAATGGTTACAAGGAGATCAAAATGGAAACTTAATATTCTGGGATATTTGAACTTGCAGAGAGATAAGAGGGATTGAAAAGGTATGGGGTAGCACTGTTAATAAGAGATGAAATAAGAACAGTTGTGATCTAGGCTCAGATCGTGTCGAGCCCATTTTGGTGGAAGTAAAAAGATAGCAAGGAAAAGAAGACATTGGCAGGAGCGCTTCACAGACATGCAAACAGTTACCACTATAAGGCTATAACTCAACAAATAATTGGAGCATGTAAAAATAATTGAGCAATAATCATAGGTTACTTTAATCTTTATGTTGATTGGGTTAATCAAATTGGAAAGGTTAACAATGACAACAAATTCATAGAGTGCATTATGTATAGTTCGCTGGAGCAATATATCATGGAGCCAACTAGGCAGCAGGCTACCTTAGTTCTGGTAATGGGTAATGAAGCAGATTTAATAAATTACATCTGAGTAATAGATCCCCCAGGAAGTGGTGATCATAACACAATAGAATTTAATATTCACTTCAAGAGTGACAAATTTAGAACAGAAGCAAACTGTGTTTAACTTTAAGCGAATTACAATGAAATGAGGATTATTGTAAAGTTGCGAAGATTTTGTGAATTGGAAGGCAGGAAAATAGAAATTATTGGTAAAATGATGGTGGGGAAAAGAGTGTGTAGTTCCTTTAAGGGGCAAGGTTTTTTTTGTGCTTAGAGATCTTGAATAAAAGTATGTCTGTGAGCAGCACCCGGAGGTTGCCAGTACAGGAAGCCTCAAAAAGTGAAACAGCTGTATCAAATAAGAAAGCCTTACAGGTGGCAGGCAAAACAGCAATCTTGTTTTGATGAACACAGCAAGCCAGGCAGCACAACAAGTTTGAATTTGGCCAGTTAATTTAAAACAAGCACCTAGATACAGAAAGCCAATTGAATTTAAATCTGATGGTGTTGACAACATCAAACCAGTCTTACATAGGATATACTATTATGTCATTATGGGTATAAAGATGAGGGTATTTTTGAAAATCAAGAGACAGCTAACCGCCATCCGAAAGAGTGAGTGAACGTTCAGCTGCAGTGAAAAAGAAGCTTAAGCCTGGCTCTCACAAACTCCATAAGCTTTCTGAAAAGACTCATCAAAAGTGCATGGCAGTTTACGTTAAAGACCTCATTGACGAAATTGCGGAGAAACCCTTATAACAGCAGACTTGGCAGAAGAAAGGCATTTGCAGCAGAGAGTTGCAGAAGCCACACAGACACTGCGAGTTTGGATAGATTAAGTTTTAATTTATTGTTTTCTTATTAAAGGGGCTTATGTAAATTGGACTTGTGCTTATTCGAATAGCATTCCATTAGAATTTAGTTTTGTTAGGGAATAGTTAGTCCTCACGGGAAGTTGTTCGGTTTGTTAGTAATTCTGTTAATTTGTTCATTGTTAGGCTAAATAAATAAATTGTTTCTTGTTATTTTTAAAGTAGAGATCAGGGATCGTCTTTCTTTTAACAACTTTTAACAGATCATGAGGGGAAAGGCGAGCTTCTCCAGGTGTTTCGGGGGTAATTATAAGAAGGGAACCCTTACTCCTGTTATAACAGATTGGGGTTTGTATTTTAGTTTAATTATCAAATGGAGTTCGGCTATTCCCCCCCACCTCTCCGTAACAGGATAGTTAGCTAAAGTGAACTAGGTGGGTAGATTAGCAGGAATGACAGTAAGCAAAATGTAGCAGACATTTGAGGAGGCAACCCATGACTCTCAACAAAAATACATCCCAATAGGGAGGAAAATTTAGAAGAGAGAGAGAAACCAAACAAGGCTAACCAAGGAAGTTAATGAGAGTATTAAGTTGAAAGAAAGAGCATATAAGAAGGCCAAAGTCAGTGATACTCCTAAGACTAGAATTGAATCCCATAAAGGAGGTCTAAAACAATAAGGACAGAGAAAATAAACTGAGAGTGAAATAGTGAGAAATTTATAAGATGGAAAATAGAGGTCTAAGTGAACATAGGCCTCAGAGAATGCATTTGGGGAGACGGTTATGGGGAGCAAAAGAATGGCAGAGGAGTTAAACAGATATTTTGCTTTAGTCTGCATGGTGGAAAATACTTTGAACATCATATTAATGTAAAGAAAACTAGGAAGGAATTAATTCTCATCACCAACAGTAAAAAAAAAGTAGTATTAGACAAATAAATGGGGCAAAGGCAAATATGGCCCTGATGGCTTGCATCCTAAGATCCTAAAAGAGGAAGCTACGGAGATAATGACCACATTTGTTGTAATTTCCAAAAAGTCTTGTAATCATGAGAAGTACCAGAGGATTGGAAAAGTGCTAATGTGACACCCCTATTCAATAAAGGAGGGAGGCAATAAGTGGGTAACTATAGGCTGATTAACCTAACATGTCCTGTTGGAAAAGTATTAGAATAAATTGTTGAGCAAGTAATAGCAGAACATTTGGAAAGTCTTAATCTAATCAAGCAAGGTCATCACAACTTCATGAAAAGGCAATCATGTCTGAATAATTTATGGGTTTTTTTTGAGGAGGTCTCAACCAGAATGAATAGAGGCAACAAGTAGATGTGTTGTTTTTGGATTTCCAGAAGGCATTCAAAAAGACACCTCACAAAGAGTTAAGTCATAAGATAAAAGCCCATGGTGTTGAAGGTAGTTTATTTGCATGGGCAGGTAACAGTGAGTTGGGATAGGAGGTTTTATTTCAGGTTAGCAACCTGTGACCAATGAGGCTCTACAGGGATCAGTGCTAGGAGGATGGAAATGAATACACTGTAGCCAAATTTGCAGATGACACAAAAATAGGTGGAAAGGCAAGTTATGAGAGAGGTACAAAGTTTATGGAGAGATTGATAGGTTAAATAGTGTGCAAAAGTTGGCAAATGGATAATAATGTGGGAAAGTGTGACAAAGTTCATTTTGGAAGGGAGAACAAAAGAACAGAATGTTATTTAAATGGAGAACAACTGCAGAAAGCTGCAACACAAATGGACTTGGGTACTTGTGCAAGAAACACAGAAAACCAACATACAGGTACAGCAGGTAATCAGGAAGGCTAATGGAATGTTGGCCTTATTTCAAGGAGGTTGGAGTAAAAGATTAGGGAAGCCTTACTGTAACTGTACAAGGTGCTGGAGAGACCACGCCTGGAGTACCGGACCCAAAACGTTAACTCTGTTTTCTCCTCCACAGATGCTGCCAGACCTGCTGAGCTTTTCCAGCAACTTTGTTTTTGTTCTGGAGTACTGTGAGCTGTTTTGGTCCACTCATTTGAGGAAAAATACCATTTCATTGGAGGCAGTTTAGAAAAGGTTCAATAGGATGATCCCTGGTATGGAAGGATTGTCTTATGAGCAAATGCTGAACAGCCTGGGACTTTATTGAAGAAGGGGCCCGACCCAAAACATCAACTTTCCTGCTCCTCTGATGCTGCCTGGCCTGCTGTGTTCTTCCAGCTCCATACTGTGTTATCTTGGGACTTTACTCACTGCAGTTTACAAGAATGAGAGGTGATCTAATTGGAATATACAGGATTCTTAAGGAACTTGACAGGGTAAAAACAAAAAGGATGTTTCCCCTCATGGGAGAATCTAGGAGCAGACAACATAGTCTCAGAATAAAGAGGTGCCAATTTAAGACTGAAATGAAGAGGAATTTCTTTGGGACTCCTTGCCATAGAGAGCGGTGGGAGCAGACTCCTTGTGTATATTTAATGCAGAGATAGATTCTTGATCATTCAGGGAACCAAGGTTTTGGGGGAAAGGCAGCAAAGTGAATATGAGATGTCTCAGTCAGCCATATTCCTATTGAATGGTGGAACAGGCTAGAGGGCTGAATGACCTACTGCTGTTTCTCTGGGTCACCAGTAAAAACCTAGTTATAGCTAAGTGGACGCGACATATAAAATCTGTTTTTTAAAAAAAGGTAATGTGAGTGTGGAAGGGAGGAATTTTTCATCCAGTCAATTGATTTCACCGATTACTCATTTT